TGGTGTCAGTACATCTGGCATTTATCACAATCAAAGGGTATGTAGACCATACTGAAGTGATGACTCACAGCAGTGTTATAGGAGTGAACTTTCTAATTCATTGTGCAACCTTTAAATATTATCTTTTTTTATGAAACTTTGCACACAGTGTTTTTGTGATAAATGGAAGCTTTGGTAAAGGTCGGACCTGAAAAATTCCAACTTCAAAAAATAAGGACCGCCATAATGCGCACTTGTGTATGCCTAGCTATGTCCTTACTTGATGTGTAAACATGCTGGCAGTGTGAATGGGGACTGGCCTTGCCTCATTCGCCAGTTTGTTTTTATTTATTCGTTATTATATTCTTATATGATTATCCTCTTATGGTGTATGTTTCATCTTAAATAATATAACATACAGTACAGGAGGTCCTCGTTATAAGAGTAATCACTATCCGCGGGATCGCAGTTAAGCGGTCAGCTTTTTGTGACCATCCACGTAAACAGTCCCCGCATTTAAGTGGATTCCACTGAAAAACTCTGAAAAATCCCGAATAAATCTACGGATTTTTAGCTGAAGTGTTTTAAATTTCATCCTCTTCCTGGCATCATGCATGCACACACATGTCGCCGTGCCAGTTTCCCATTTTGTTTCGTCCAGACCGGTGCTGTGTTGTGTTTACTCCTGCTTTTGTTGTGTCTTTGTGCGTGTTGTGATGAATTATTTTAACATTTTTGTAGCCATGAGTTCCCAACCCAAACAGGGTGGTGCAGCATTCAAAAGAAAGCTCACCAGCTATAGTATAGATGTAAAATTAGAAGTGATTTGGCAAAAGAATAGTGGGAGTGGACAATCCACCTAGTCCTGTTTCTTTCTTATCCTCCGACTAATCCTCCATCCCCCACCTCCATCAGTCCAATCAAGCCAAACATCTCTACCTTTGAAGCTTAGTAAATACGAATATTTTTCTAGGTTAAAATTATTTATTTTTAAAACATTATAATAAGTAATTTGTCTCAATGAACCACTGAAGTGAGTATGCACCAGAAATGGTTGCTGCGGACCACCGGGTCGCTGGCACAACCTACGTTGCCTCAACACACCGAACCCAATGAACTTTAAGGGCGTTAAATAACTTATATAGTTAAATATTTCTTTTAAATAATGTGTTCTCAAATGTTTAACAAATGTTTCTAAGGTAAATAATTGTTAAAAGATATATAATATATTTTTGAGCGTCTTGTACAATGTCATGGTCCCAATTTGACTTGTTTCCATTATTTCTTATGGGATTAATTCCTCTCTTTAAGTGGATTCATTATCAGAGGTGTTTTTCTGGCCCCAATTAACCGCAGATAACAAGAACCCCCCTGTATTAAATAATGAAGAAAATACAATTCTCCCCTGTATATAATTTGCAATTTGACTTCAAAATAAAGGAAAAATGTAAAAGAAAACACACACGAAATTTATTGCAAATTTAAGAGTCATCAAGGGGGGCAGAGGGCTAATAAGTGGCTGCTTAGTGCACGAAGGCCCCCAGAACCACCACCAACCCCCAAAGTAAAAGTCCGGACAATCGGCAAGTCTAGACCCACTTCCCCCCCAGATTGTCTGGCCTTTCGGGGGTTTACTGTATGTTGTTTTAATGCAAGTTTACCCTTGAAAAGTACCAGGCTTTCATCAATAACCATTTTCCTGAAGGGATAAAAACTTACTAACTTCTCTCACAATCATGGCAAACACGTCCCTTACTTTCCACAGACAGTCTCTTTCCACTGGGTTATTATTGTCTTTGAAAGGGAGGAAGTGCAGTAGTAAGAGAAATTTGTCTCTTGTCATAAATTTCCTGAACGTGTTTTTTGTTGCGAGGCATCAACATTATAAGTGCAAAAAACACGTATAATTCTTCTGCTGTAGTGCCCACCCAATGATGCACACGAGAATGAAGGCTTTTGTTAAACCACCAATGTATGTAATAAGTCATTTATGTCCAATGTATATTTTCAGCCTTCGGGCTGCAGAACTTTTTCAATAAACCGTCAATTATTATTATTATTATTATTAGAAACTATTGCTATATGTGAAATACTTATAATAGTATCTGTTGGTCTCATCCACAATATGTAACATTACTTCATTGTCAAAAAAGGCAGTAAAATATGCAATTTAGTCACAGTGTCATCACAAGGCCAGTCACGATTAATACAGTGGTCCCTCGGTTAACGAACGCCTCGGTTAACAAAATTTCAGTTAACAAATTACCTTCCATAAGAATCTTCAATTCGGTTAACGAACAAAAATTCAATTAACGAAATTCTTACGAAAACATTTCGACATGTTTTGGCCTGCTCATCGGCTGGTAGATTAGTCCGCCAGTACAGTAATCGATTCTAGGGCTTACATTCGTTTCCATTGGAGTATAAATATCAAGAAGGTTGTGTTATTCAATATTTTTCCAAGTTTTATATTAATATTATTAATCGTTTTAACACTTATTTAACATAATTGCAGTACAGGGAACAGGGGGTGCTGGTGGTAGAGTGGTACCGCTCTTGCCTTCGCACGCGAGATGTCACGGGTTCGATTCCCTGGCCGGTGGAAGTTGTTTGGACATACTTCCTAGCCCCCATTAGTCCCTGTTCACCTAGCAGTAAAGTAGGTACCTGGTGTAAATCGAAAGTTGCGAATTAGCATTCAGGGACAAGTTGTTGGAGCTTCCAATAACTTGATGACATATACCATTGACTCTTCAGGCTTCTATGCCCTTGATTCTTCAGGCTTCTACGCCCTTAACTCATGATACATAAAGGCAAGCATGAACTTAGCATGCTTCCCTGTTGGGCACTGTAAACGCTTCTGCGCTTTACCTTGCACAAGGCTGTAGGGGAGTGCCCAATAAAAAAAAAAAAAGTACAGGGAACTAGTTTTTGGTGCGCCCATCAGCCACTTCACTCACCCACCAAGGCGTCAGTTTGTGTGTCTGTTCAGTGGAGGAAACATCTTGCTTGTGGGTCTCTTGAACACAATATTTTTACGTTTTTACAGTACAATTATTGGTCATTCTGAAATTTATTTAACATATTTACAATATATAGTGCAGTGCAGTGTTGATTTAAAGAAAATAATCTTGAATTACACCTAGTGAACTTAAAATTTTATTGGTGAAATGACAGCATCAAACATGGGGTGATATCTCCTCCTTCTCTTCTCCCTTCTCCTCCACCCCCACTTCTAATTCCCATCATCATCATCAACCAGGGGCCTTCTACATACACACCTCAAAGTAAGTGTACTATACTGCATTTTTTTTTTTTTTTACTTTGTATGTACTTTTCAGTGAGCTGGAACCAATTACCCAATATCCCATTGAAACAATGGATTCGGTTAACGAAATTTTCGGTTAACGAACGACCTTCTGGAACGAATTGTGTTCCTTAACCGAGGGACCACTGTACCAGCAATTCCATCATCAAAATATGAATGTCTGGCGCAAAATTTGACTCATCAGTCTACACAAAGGTCGTGTCGCTTGGTGGGCACACACCCCCACCTCCCCCTCCTCTTTCATGGCCTCCCCTACCCCCTCTACACTGTTGCTACTGTCACTCCCAGCACCCATTTCCTCTCCAACACTCGATATTCCAATCATCGTTATCAGATAAACGAGGACGTGGATGTGGTTCAGCGACCTGTGCCCGGGTGAGCTAATCCCTGTAAAAAATATATACAGTGTATATGTTATAAACCATGGGCACAAACTTAGAGGGTGTAAGGTTTTCTATTTTTTGTTTAGATCGAGCAGAACGGCAGTTGGTGGTAACACGTGAAGGCAGCACTCACTCCACCTTGTATGACAACACCAGTCTGAGTAGCACATTTTTTTTTCCCTCTCTCACTGCACTCACTGTACTGCTCTTACCTCCAGCTTCTTTGTCTCTAGTAGGCAGAGCAGCAGGTGTTGATGTTGATGTACCAGTAGATCAGGGGTTCCCAAGCTTTTTCTAGCACGACCCAATCCAGTGTTGTCAACTATCCAGTGCGACCCCAAATCATTTCACTGGCAGACCCAAAGGACCCCACCGACCCCATGACCTCTTTCCGACCCTACCTAATGAGCCTTCCGACCCCATTTGGGGTCGCGACCCCAGGTTTGGGAACCCCCGCAGTAGATGAAAGCGGTGTAGATAGTGCAAAGGAAGAATGAGTGGTTTTGTATCATGAAGTTTTGGGCTTGGCTTTAGGCCTGTAGCCAACTTCATGATGTTGCCTTCCCGTGGGTCATCCACAGATTCCTCACTTTCATCACTAATTCTGTGATATTCCATGAGTAATTTTCTTTTACAAAGTAGTCTTCCTTCCACTTGTCTTTGGCCTTGCACCACTGCCATTGGAAGCATAAGGGGTGAATTCATTGAGGATTGTCACGGGACGAGGATGCACGTCTTGCCTCCATCGTGACTGAGATATGACTGCTTTATTTGCAATGTGGGTGGGAGGAGTACCCAGTGGAACAACAGGAAAGTGTAAACATCCCATACTTGACCCTGGTAGCTATGAAATTTTTGTGCACTTTATTCAAAACACTCTGCATTCCAGAATGTATGTCATACTCTTCTGCTAATCATTTGAGAATGTAAATCACACTCCTCCGCTAATCATTTGAGAATTTGTCGCACTCCTCCGCTAATCATTCAAGAATGTATGTCACAGTTTATGGGTTAAGGACTAACCTTAATTTCATGCTTTGATCTTCTTAAACTAAACATCTTGCCCTGCCCTATTTTCACCTTAATTTATACTCAGTCCCTCTTAACCTTATCTTCATGCCCAGTCCCTTTTGACCTTAACTACAATCACTTCCTGATAGTGCCCTCAGACTTGTTTATTATATGCCACTTCATGGTAATAGTAGGTGGCTTATAAAAGGTTTCCTCTATATTTTAATATTGTTTGTGAAAGCCTTGTGCTGTGTGCTTTTAAATTCCTATATCTTCTGATGAGCACTTGTCATTTACAGGTGGACACATCCACATAGCTACCTGGAAGCCTGAGATGATTAAATGTTGGCGTGCAGAACTGAAGATGACAAATCAAAACTGTGGTGGGGGAAAGGGTGACCTTAACATTACAATTGAAGCTGCTCAATCTTTCTGCCCATCACGTTCTGGCTCCACATGGCATAGTACTCAAAGTATGTTTTATTACAAGTGTATACATATTTTTATGTTGGCTGCTGTGTGTACTACCATTAATTGATCCTGCAAATATTAGCAATGTTGATTATTTAGGTAGAAATATTGGGATTTGAAAGAGTGAAAATCTCTAAATGTATTATATTATGATAGTTCCGACATCAATGCCTCTGGAACCCAGAAAAGATGGACCTCTATCCTGTTTGGACACTCTTTATGCACTCTTTGTATAACTGGGAATATTTTTATACGTTCTGACTTCGCTGACATTTTATTCCACAGAGTGATGGTAGTCTCATAGATCTATTGTTCCCTCCCTTTGGTCATGAAGGAGGATTTCATACTACAGTATAATACTTTATTTTTAAAAGGAAAAATTTTTTTTGCTAACACGCAATAATTTTATATTTTCTTGATAAAATCTTTTTGTCTACAGAAAATGAAGGGCTAATGCAAGTGACATGTCTACGATACACAGAATTGGAAGACCCAAATAGTTTATTAGTGGCTCTCACTGTAGAAAAACCTGTTGAAACATCCCCCACACAACAGGTTGGTATTAAGGTAAAAAAAAAATTCTTTCATTTAAGTTAACAGATGGTCAATGAATAACTCACAAGGTACCTCCACTTGGATTATACACTTGCCAGTTCCTGCCAAGGTCAGGAAAATGTATTATTTTGCAATGTTTCATTAACCTGGCACCAAATGAACCTAAATAATATGGGTATTATGGAGAAATTGCATAATGTCTTTATAAAGGGGTGGGGAATTTCCATCGAGTTCAGCCCAGCCACCCACCATATTCCGTCACACACACATGATTCCCTTTCCAATTAATTGTATGATTTCATTGTTTTATTTATGTTTTTCCCCATTGCACACTCACGCGCCATAGTTTTGATGCACCCTCTACCCCTACTCCTGGCTCGAGGGAAGTCGTAGTCTGGGCTGCAACTGAACGGTCCCTCTTGTATAGTGATGTGATGGATAGTGATGGTAAGTAAAGTGTTGTGAAGTCACTAAAAAACCTGTATCGTGCATGTATTCTCTCAAATATTACATCATGAACTGCTATTCGTACAATCCAGCAAAGCTTCGAGCTACCACATTGCACCACTGAACGATGGGTGGTGGGGGGAGTGAGAGGGGGGCGTTCGATATGAAGCCAAGGCTACGACTTCCATCGAGTCAGGAGTAGGGGTAGAGGGTGCATCGAAACTATGGCGCGTGAGTGTACGTGTATTTAAAGAAAAACATCAAAATACCAAATACTGTATGGTTTTGTTTATGGGTGACTCAAGTATCTCAAACATACAATACTATGGCTGCTGATAATTTCCACATGCAGGTATTTTGACAACTCGTGGGGTCCCTGGAACCTAACCCGCACAAATAGCAAGGGTCATTTGTATTTCTACATCTGAGAGCTTTGCACTGCCTCTGAAGTGAGGGCAAAATCCAGGGTATTTTATGGATTTACTGGATACAGGTAGTAACATTTTGATGTGTTTGGTGATATTTGCTGATACACTATACACTACACTAACGTAACATATTTCTATAACAAGAGTAAGACAAATTGAATAAAAAATGAAAAACACACTTTTGTGTTCATGCATATGACAACATTTCTTCCAGTTTATGCCTGCAGGCTAAGCACATTGCATCAGTAAATCAGAGTACGTACAGGTAATTTGCATTTGACGCACGTTTGATTTAAGCATTTTTGGAAAAATGCGATTGTTCAATTAATACCAAAAGCTAATTTACTCGCACCTATTTTTGAAAAAATGTGCTAAAGACATTTTAAATTTGCCTCATGTATTCGCCTGGTCGCCTAGCTGTGGAGTCGCATGTGATGCCTGGTGAGGTTCTTGTAAGTTATTACTAAGAAGTCACAACATCAACATCCAGTAAGCTTCCCGCGTATCACTTTCTCAGTTCACACCAGCACTACTTTTTCTCTGTGGTCTCATTTGCATTGTGTGTTTATCACGTACATTTTTAGTGTTACACGCTGTTTTCCCCATTGAGCATGTCTGGAAAACATCCATCTGCCTCTTCTGGGGCGCCTAAAGCTAAAATGGCATGAAAAACAATCGCAATGGATGTGAAATTAAATGTGATCACCTGCCTTCAGAGAGGAGAGCGTGTGTCGGAGGTTGGCCACGTGCTTGGTTTAAGTGAGAGCACGGTTTGTAACCTGTGTGGTATATGATGGTTCCCCTAACCTGTACCATTTTCATTTATTCTTATGGAAAAATTATGTTTAATTTACGCTTTTTTTAATTAAGCGGTGGTTTTCAAGAAATCCGTAAAACGAGAGGTTGGTGTACAGTAATATCTCCGTTAGCCGGAATCCCTCAAACCTGGTTACTGGGCGAAGCTGTGAGATGTTATGGTTGTTTTTTACTCGTATTTTCCGGTAGATATACACGACTTTCTTAATTTATTTTTACTCGGATACATGCACACACCATCCTAAATACATATTGTGAAAGAAGGTAAAAGAAATAATTGTCCTAAGGGCAAACAAGTAACGGGAGGAGAGCACAGAGTGTACTGTAGCTGGTGGGGAGCATTGAAAGTGAATCGGCATCCCAGCTGATCTTTGTTACTATGGGGCAGCACGGAGTATATGCAAATGGCGATTGTGTTAAACATTTATTTGGCTTTTATTTACTGGTTTGGCAATGTATTTTTGTTGTAACTTATTTATTGGTATTATTTTTATTTATTCCTCACATTTCCTGGGATTGCATGCAGGTAGTCCCCGGCTTAGGACTGATTCAACTTACGTCCATCCGCACTTACGACCTGCTCTAACCTTACGACCGTCGGGACATACGACCGCCGCAGTCGTGACCAAAATTTTTTTCAAATGACGAGTGCATTTTCTATACCGAAACGTTTCCGTCCTGAGTGAAAGCGTGGCGTGGCTTGGGTCACCGCGTGGTTACACTCACTCAGTACAGCGCTTAGTTGGTGTTTGGCTATCGTATCCTATACTGATCGCGCTGTGAACTTACGTTATTATCGTATTTAATTGACTTTATAATGACTGGAAAGTGTACAAGTGAGAGTGCTGGTGGTGCTCCAAAGAAAAGGAGACAGGCAATTACTTTTGAGATGAAAATGAAGATAATAGTGCAGTATAAGAATGGAAAAACTGTAGCAATAATCTCAAGTGACCTAGGTTTCTCACACTCGACCATATCCACTATTCTGAAGGACAAGAAACGTATTCGTGATGTAGTGAAAAGAACAACACCTATAAAGAGAACTATAATTTTGAAGAAAAGACAAGGTCCTATTAACGATATGGAAAAATTATTGGTGATATGGATAGAAGACCAAACACAGAAGCGTGTACCCTTAAGCCTTCTAACCTTACAGGCTAAAGCAAGAAGCCTGTTCCAAAGCCTGAAGGAGCTGGCAGGAGATGAATGTGATCAAACCTTTACAGCAAGTCATGGGTGGTTTAATAGATTTAAAAAATGCTACAGTCTACACAATGTTAAGGTGAGTGGAGAGGCAGCTAGTGCCGATGTTGGTGCTGCCAAAGCTTTTAAGGAGGAGTTAGATGATGTGATTGTGGAAGGGAATTATTTGCCTGAGCAAATATTCAATGTGGATGAGACTGGATTATTGTGGAAGCGCATGCCTGAGCTGACATACATTCACAAAGAGGCAAAAACAATGCCAGGATTCAAGGCATTCAAGGACAGAATTACACTTCTGTTGGGGGAGAATGTTGCTGGTTTCAAGCTAAAGCCCTTCATGATCTATCATTCAAAGAACCCCAGGGCTTTTAAACATGTCAGCAAGCACACACTGCCAGTGTTTTATCGCAGTAATAAGAAAGCCTGGATGACCTTAGCACTGTTTGAGGATTGGTTCATGACTTGTTTCATTCCATGAGCCAAGGAGTATTGTCTGCAACAACGGATTCCATTCAAGATTTTGCTGATTTTGGATAATGCTCCGGGACACCCACCACACCTGGACGACATGCACCCTGATGTTAAGGTAGTGTACATTCCACCTAACACTACCTCTGTCATCCAACCCATGGATCAAGGTGCTATTGCTGCCTTTAAAGCGTATTATTTACGCACGACTTTCGCTCAGGCTGTTGCTGCTACTGAAGGTGAGAAAACGCTCAGAGCGTTTTGGAAGGAGTACAACGTTTTGTCATGTATAAAGAACATTAGTGCAGCATGGGATCAGGTTACAAAACATTGCATGAATGGAAGATGGAAGAAAGTCCTGAAAAGATATGTGAACAGTTTTAGAGGATTTAATGAAAATGAAGTTATTTCGGATATTAGTAACAAGATAGTGGAGTTAGGTAAACAGCTTCAGTTAGAAATTGATAATGAAGATGTTGAACAGTTGGTTGAAAGTGTAGCAGAAGAGCTCAGTAACGAAGATCTCATCGAACTGGAAGCACACAAAGATGCAGAGGAAGAAGCCAGTCTAAATGTAGAAGAAGGACCTGCACCCCCCAAAAAGTTTTCAGTGAAGCAAATGGCAGAGGCATTTGCTACAATTAATAAGGGAATGCAAATGTTTGATGGCATGGATAAAAATTATGAGCGTTATGCCAAAGTTGACAGAATGATCCAAGATGCACTTGCTTGCTACAGAGAAAATTATAATAAAAAAAAACTGTGCAGTCTAAATTGGACATCTATTTTAAGAAGTCCCCCAGTGCTGTCTCCTCACGCCCCACCAGTGCTGCCTCTTCACTCCCTCAAGATGATCCAATACCTTCAACCAGCAAGTTTCTACAGTCCATAAACCTGGCTGAAGAAAGCGAAATTGATGACCCACCCAGCCGTCTCCTCTGCTTCTTCCAGTTAATGTAGTCTCCATGTATAATTAGAAAATTATGGGGGCCCCGTGTGCATTCAGCTGACTACATTAAAAGTAAGTGCTCAGTCACACTGTATCCATTCCTCATTATTTATTACTTTTACTTTACTGTATTTCATTGTAGATTTTTTTTTTTTTTTAATTTTGAATTTAGTTTTTTTTTATTTATTTATTTATTTTTTTTTATCTATGTCGGACTTATGACCATTCCGACTTACGACCTGGATTTGGGTCCCTAACCCCGTCGTAAGTCGGGGAGCACCTGTATATTATTTTTAGAAAACTATGGCTGGGAGGTGTTATGGTTGTTTTTCAAATCAAATTTTCAGGTACTGTAGATACAGTGGTCCCTCAGTTAACGAACGATTCGATTAACGAAATTTCGGTTAACGATTTACCTCCCATAAGGATCTTCAATTCGGTTAACGAACAAAACTTCGATTAACGAAATCCTTACGAACAACACGTTTTGTTGTGAGCATCAGCTGATGGGCTAGTCTGCCAATTCAGTAATCTGTTCTATGTTTACATTCGTTTCCAGTGCAGTAAATATCAAGAAAGTTGTGCTCTTTAATATTTTTGCATTTTTTATATTAAAATTATTAGTCATTTTGAAATTTAGTTAACATATTGATAATATATGCAGTACAGGGAACTACAGTAGTATTTTGTGCGCCCCTCAG